TGGTGCGATCCCGCACCCCTCGCTCTATCCCATCCACCCTCACCGCGTCACCGCCGCATGCGTCCGCCCAGCTCCCACGCCCTACGGGATACACCGGTGACGAGGTCGGCTCCCTCCACGCGTGCCTCGCCCACGTTGATCCAGGACGACCGCGCCAATGCCAGCACCTCTGAGATCTTCGTAGCCCACCACGCTGCTTGGATGGATGTCGAGCGTTGCCTCTAGGTCAACGCCGCTGCCGCCGCCGGGGACGAGGCTGCCTCCCTCCACGCGCGCCCCCTCCTCTATGACGTGACTGGGCCCCCATCACGCCCACCCTGCGCCCGTGCCCGCCCGTAGCAGGTCGCGTCGCCGCCGCCCACGCCTGTCGTGCTTTGCCATCGTCTCGCTGCGCCTCAGCACAGCAGCATCCGGTGTGTCGTATCCGGTGCCGCGTCCTCTCCCTGCCTCCTGCCTCCTGCCGCCTCCCCTCCCATCTCCCCATCGCGCCCCCTAGCGCCATCCGCATCCTGCCCCCACCGGCCACCCCCACCTCCATGCGGATCGGCGCATGAGTACCGGTGGCAATGCCCCTTTTTCTCTGCAAGCGGCAGCGCAAGGCAGTGGCACCTCCTTACCTCCATGGGCCATCCCATCCCGCCCCTCGATGGCAGCGCGTCCCACACCGTGCGGATGGAACCCCCGGCGGCGATGCATCCTGCCCTCACTCAGCAGATGGGGATGCCACTGGGTCATTACTTTGGGGATTGATTGGTCCGATTGCCTGCTGGAATCGATCGAGTGAATGTTGAGTTGGTTCTATGGTTGTTGTTTCTTTGATATGACATGTTGCTATGGAAGAGGCTATCATTAATGCCTTTTCAGTTGCTAGGATTAAGGGATTAGGGTTCAGAATAAAGCTATTATTTGTCTTTTTAGTTGCTAGAATTAGGGGATCAGGGATGAGAAGATTGGAAAAGGGTACCATGAATTCTTTATCCTCTGCTTCATCTGTTGCAGGCTGGTGTGTAAACACTACTGTTACCATGTTCTTGCATCCTCCTTCTCCATAAAAAGGTACGATGTTGTCTCAGAATAGTAGCGCTCCTTTCATAATATAGTTCTTAATGATTTCGCATTGAACCTTGCTTCCTTTGTAAAACAGCGGCATCAGGTCCTAAAAGCTATTTGAAGGTAACTACAGCTGCATCCTCACACAGGGAGAAATGTCACTACAATTTTCGTGATTTTGTGATCTGCACTAAGATGATTTTGTGTTCTTACTGTAATTTTCTTTTGTTTCCCCACAGAGCACTCGACTGCAATAGCTACGGCTCTGGAGGTTTCGTATTACAGCACGTGAAATAATGTTGTATGTCGACACCAGTGACACCAATGGAAGCTTCAGTTCCTCTGGATATAGGTGAGAGCATTAAACATGGATGCTTGGTGGCGTTAAACGCCTCATTTCATGCTACACTAGTCCTTACAAACTTTGATCGGTTCTTTGGGCAGTATTCTAAAAAAATGCAGTGGCCTATATTTTTTTGGCCTCTTAAGCTGAATATATGGATTAGGCAGGTTATTTTAGATGAGTGTAGATGAGATTGTCCCACTACTGCTTTGTGGGAATTCAAACAAAGCAATTGAACATGGCCATCAAACATACTATCATATTAATTAAACTTTGCTGTTCATAGTTCAACTGCCATTTATTCTCTTACTTTCCATGACCGAGCTGCCATCTGTCTCTTGCAAATTATTGTCCATCTACTGCAGGTTGGAACAAGGCTAATGCTAGGATATTTGAGATGATTTCTTTAACTAGCAGAATTCCAGGCTTTTGGTTATATATATTGCGTGCAACTTCTTTAATTAGTGATGTTGCAGTGTTCCAGGCTTTAGTGATGTTCCACACTTTTGGTTGTCTATATATACTGCATGTGGCGACATTACAGTGGACCTACCTTTTTTAAAGAAATGATTTCATCAAAGTATGTGTTTGACGTCCTAAAATACAAGAGTAGGGGTAGCTGATGTTAATTTATTTAAAATTTCCTCTGGGCTCTTATCTTTATTTCCTGAAACATTGCTATGTATGTGCAGTTAGTTCTTCCAAATTTTACATCACATAGATGTAATAGTGAGCTCCATTTATTTATGCAGTATTGATCTTTATTGACCTTTAAGGAGAGACCAAGGACATTCAATGTTTCCATGGAGATGCCAACCTTTAAAGATAATATTTCAGGCATGTCCCATTCAGTCATGTCATCTTTACGAGGTAGTTAGTTTTATTGTCATACCACAGGAACTGATCTAATTAGAAGCTTCAGATTGACTTGATTTAGAACACAATGATGATTATTGGTTCCATCTACTTTGAGTAACAGGAAGTAGCATCTTTTTTCTATTTCCAAGTATATATATGCAGGTTAAACAATTACTGTTGTCCTTCTATTAATGGCTGTATCACCACTTTTTTCTAATTTGGGGCTAAACTAAGGTTGGGTTCCAGTTTCTGAAAATAGGGTGCTGGTGGTCTGGTGGAGGATTTTGCAACAACAAAGTGAAATTTCAGAAATGGAAGGTGTGTGGTCACCATTGATTATGTCTACATGTTCCCTCTCATTTTACTTAATTAGCTCAATGTGTCCATATATAATTGTACACTAATTGAAAAGATGTTGCCAAAGTCCCAATTATTACATCCTCTACATATAATCTTTCATCTTTTTTTCTCTGGGTCATTTTTCGTTTTGTTCTCTAGGTACCTTCATTTTGCTTGTGCTAAAGAGATAAATTAATTTCAATGAAAAGACTTGAGGATGCTAGGTAAAAAAAGTATCAGAAGATTCATATATTTTATTATTTTGTTGCCATTTAGCAAAATGAGATGGTTCGAGAGATCTTTTGTTCGCTAAAAAGGACTAAAGCCTTCCTACCATTTTTAAAAAAAAAATCGCCGGTGCCTAGGGTTCCTGATATTGTGAATTTTCCCCTTTGGTTGGTCTTGGTTCCTTTAGCAAGGATTACCGGTGTGAACGCTTTTATACTGCTTCTGTTGTTAGCCACCGTTTTGTTGTCGCGGTGCTCTTTAAGTAAGATTAACCGGCCTTCTGCGCGGCCTCTGTTTATTTATGGCTTCAGTCTTGGTACTCCAACTTTAAGAACCTGCATATTCAAATACTTCTTCATAGGCATATTGTAGCTTTTTGTTACAAGGAATTTCTTTTCTACTCATAGATAATAGAATGCATGCCTACGCCTATAGTCTTTCCCAATTCAAGTTCTTCTTTGTAGTTCTTTTTATTTATGGACCAAAATTCTAGATTACACTGATACATTATCTATCCGTTTGACATGTATACCCTATGAACTAAATGGATTTCCCACTTAAAATGGCATTTCCCTTCTTGAACAAATGGATGCCTGTTGCTAAAGAAAAATGGATTACCTTCAAGAAAAATGCAAATCCTAATGTCCAAATGGTCTCAGAGATATCTGTGGAGGCTATCTGCTTCTCTATATATTCAGACTAATCTATCTGAGTTCACTATATCTTCTTTCCGCAGCCTAGCAGCATGGTGCTGCCTCTACGTACTTCCTGCGACTCTGCAAACCTGCTGTATGCATGTGTTTTTACGGTCGTGTATACATACCTAGATTTCAAAGACCCAGTTAGACTACTCAATTCGATGGAACTCAACTTTTCAGCTTAACTGCTCTATTTGTGGGAAGTTGAATAGAATACCAAAGTCCCTTTTTGCTAAACCGTAGCATACTCCCATTCTTCGCCATGTAGTAGTTGCTAGCAGGGAACTTTTTGTTCAATGAGAACTTTCAAACCGCTATATACCGGTGTTTTTTTGTTGTGCATACATACCTAGGTTTCAAAGAACCAGTTAGACTACACAATTTCATGGAGCTCAACTTTTCAGCTGAAATGCTCTATTTGTGGGGAAAAATAGAATAGCAAAGACCCTTTTGTTAAAACCTACCATGTAATAACTAAGTCTTCTTTGTTTCATGCCAATCTTGCCCCTTTTTTCCAAGATTATTGCAATGCATATTATACTGAATATTTTTCTTTGGCAGGTTCATCAACAAAATTAGAGCTACTCTCAAGCCATATACTAAAAGAGCACGCCATGTATATGGACAGTTTCTTGAGACAGCTGCTACATATCATCAGCAGGTATTTGTTGTTTCCTTTTCCCATCTACCTTTGTGAACAATTTTGGGTCAGGTATACTAAAAGACACAGCATGTATTTATTTGTTCACTGGTATAAACACTATCATCCATGATCGCTAAAAGGCACGCTATGTATTTGTTCGATTTGTCGGTATAGACACTATGATTTGTCATCGCTGAACCTTGTTGTATATCTATAGACTATTTGTGTGCTCTGTTTCCAATCATGACGGCTATTAATCTTACGAAAGCAATTAATAAATATAAATGTCAGTGCAATGAATTTTGAATAATTAGGGTTTCTTGATTTTTTTAAATCATACAGTTAGACTCAATATATATTTCGATCGCCACTCCCTCATTATTGTAATTTCTTGTTTTCTTTTGGGTGGCCAAACGATTTTACCATGTACCATGGCTTCATAGAAATTTTTGCAACCTTACAGATTATAGAAGGGCATTGAAATTTTAGAACCTCAGCTTAATTATTCCATAACACACTGTGATCTATGCTTATACAATTTCTGCTTCTGTTATTTGTTTTTAATAGTCTTCCAAATCACAACGATAGTTCAGTTATACATAGAGATGGCAGCAACAGAAGATACTTTTAGTGATGTTCCATAAAATCTTTGAGAGAAAGATGCATCACCATCCTGCACCAAACAAACCCGAATGCATGTGCCACTAGCCCGCTACCAAGACTCAGGCATATTCCTTATCGATTTGCATAACCAAACATTATATTACACTTCACAAAGAAAATACTATTAACACACTCAATTCTCCTCACAGATTGATCCATCAGTGACAACTGATCATCCATGGACATAAATGCTCTCAGCGACATCGCGGCCGAGCTTAGCGTCCCCGCCTACTTCTTCTTCCCCTCTGGGGCCAGCAACCTCGCCGTGTTCCTCAACCTTCCCTACTACTACCCCACCATGCCGTCGTTCCGGGAGATGGGCAAGACTACGCTCGTGCGCTACTTCCCGGGCATGCCGCCGATCCGCGCCGTGGATATGTTGCAGTCGATCCACGACAAGGAGAACGACGCGACCAAGGTCCGGCTCTACCAGTTCAAGCGCATGGCGGAGGAGAGGGGCGTGCTGGTCAACAACTTCGATTGGCTGGAGCCCTGGAGTTGCTCTTAGAGACTGTTAATTTCACAAACTTTGCTTTTTAATTAAATGTCAGTTTAATGTCTTACAGTATTATTATCTTATTGTGCGATTCGTGTGTTTTTAGTATAAAAGTTTAATTATCCATGAGCAATGCACGAACACGCTACCTAGTCTATAAAGAAGGCGTCATTGCTCCCAAAGAAAGCGGAATGAACGATCTGAGTATTTGCGATCGTGGAGGGTGAAGGTGAGTGAAGGTGGCAGGCCGTGGCTGCGATCGGAGAACGGCTTCCTCGGACGACGTCGTCCGGCATGCTGGAGGAGCGCCCCGAGGTCGACAGTGCGCGCCGGGACTTCAGCCGCCACCGTTTCGAGCAGGTATTAAGAACCCGTATACCATACTCGAACTCTCGCTTATTTTTCATGTAAAACTGGAAAATACCTGAACCTTTTGCGAGAAAAAATAATTCCACGATAATCTCTATCTTCCTAAACTGCAGCCAAGCTCGTGCAAATCATTGGGCCACGTTGCTGTTTCTTATCGGCCGTCCGATACCCGCTGGCTGTTGATCCCGTCCGTCCATTTCGGCCCCCTAAGCGCTTCGCGAATACTCGGTTGCTCGCGTCGCATCGCTCGCGGCCTCCGGGCTCTGGCTCGCAAGGACGACAACGCACCGCCTTCGTCCGACCTGCCGCTCTGTGCCTTTTCTCCGTCCGCGCCGGAGTCACCGGGGATGCCGGGATCCCCAGCCTGAGCTGAAGTGGCCGGGGCCGCCACGCGCATGGCCCCCGCATGCGCCACGGTGGCCCCGGAGTTGGGGAGGGTGGACGCGGACGGGCAGGCGCCATGGCAGACGCGTGAACGGAGCGTCGCGAGACTTTCCGGGGGGACACGGGCGGCAGGCGGCGGCGGCGGCGGCCGCGGGGATTGAGCGGATGCCCTTTGTGATCTCCAGCAACTGAGCGTTCCAGCCATCGCCCCAGCAAATAGAACGGTCCTCGACATGAATGCCGCCCACCAGATGCTTGAGAAAATGCCTCCAAGGTAAGGTGCTCAATGAAATCCGTATAATGTTTAATAATAGTGCATATTGAGAATAGTGAGATGTTGACAGCTTCTTAGTATGAGAAATTAGACTTCAGATTAGGATGCAAAACATCGTTAGGAAATTCTGTGAGGATGCAACAGCCCACATGAAGATAAGCTGTTCCAAGCATATTCAGTACTTTTAAGTTTTAGTATCATAAGCCAAAGCATGAAGGACACAGCATAAAGCATGTCTTTGTGACCTCTTCGCCTCTTTGAAACTGAAATTCAAATGGGTTCAGTTAATGTTTGTAAATAAAAATCTAATGGAAGTGAACTTAAAATTAGTAAAATCACGATTAGCATCCTTTTTGCTGAATCTAACTGCAAATAATTCAGAAAACTGTGATTTGAATCAAAAGAGACTTATCATTCCTTAAATGCTTAAATGGTTCTTCACAGCTCGAACTGCATTTCTCCACAAGTGGCTGTCTCCAATAGGAGACCCATTGTGGAACCCAAACCTAAAATGGGTTTCCAACACAATACCTATAGCCTCCAACAGAGTATCTATATGGAAGATCTATTTTGGGTGTCAGGAGAGGCATAACTTAAATCTGAGTATCCTCTCTCCTGGAGACCCCTTTACAGAAAGGGTTGTCTTTTGGGTCATGTTGTTGGAGAAGACCAAAAATATGTATTGAACCTTTTGCCTGTAGCGCTACCCAAAAGACGAATGAGTCTTGTATTTTGGGTCGCGGTTGTTGGAGACAGTCATGCCTTAATTTTCTAGGACATCCATTCTTTATGCCTTAATGGCTGCCTCAAACATAGGAAGAGGAAGCCAACGCTCATTCACCTATTGCACTTCTATAGAGACATTTATGATGACATAGCTTAGTGCTGAGCTTTCCTGCCACTCTCATTGTGCCCTTGTTTAGTTGCTCCCAACTCCCAACTTTGGCACTATGCAAAAAGAAGATTTCCCGTCACATCAAACTTGTGGTACATACATGGAGTATTAAATGTAGACGAAATTAAAAACTAATTGCACAGTTAGGTTGTGCTTTGCGAGACGAACGTTTTGAGCCTAATTAGTCAACGATTGGATAATTATTACCAAATACAAACGAAATGCTACAGTGCGCTACAATGGCGCACAGTGAATCCGACGGCGCCGAATTCGGCCAACTAAACCAGGCCTGTATTAGTTTTGTAACTTTTGTAAATTTACAAACTTTTCCCACAGGCTGCTAGGGACCAATGCAGGTTTACAGCCTCTCCATGACCTGTTTTTTCTTAATTATGCATTTGATGCAGTTCTATCAACAACAACAACAACAATAACAAAGCCTTTAAGTCCCAAACAAGTTGGGGTAGGCTAGAGTTGAAACCCAGCAGAAACAATCAAGGTTCAGGCACGTGAATAGCTATCTTCCAAGCACTCCTATCTAAGGCTAAGTCTTTGGGTATATTCCATCCTTTCAAGTCTCCTTTTATTGCCTCTACCTAAGTCAACTTCGGTTTTCCTTTGCCTCTCTTCACGTTACTATCCTGGCTTAGGATTCCACTACGCACCGGTGCCTCTGAAGGTCTCCGTTGCACATGTCCAAACCATCTCAACCGGTGTTGGACAAGCTTTTCTTCAATTGGTGCTACCCCTAATCTATCACATATATCATCGTTCCGAACTCGATCTCTTCTTGTATGACCGCAAATCCAACGCAACATACGCATTTCCGCGACACTTAACTGTTGAACATGTCGTCTTTTCGTAGGCCAACATTCTGCACCATACAACATAGCAGGTCTAATCGCCGTCCTATAAAACTTGTCTTTTAACTTCTGTGGTACCCTTTTGTCACATAGGACACCAGATGCTTGCCGCCACTTCATCCACCCTGTTTTGATTCTATGACTAACATCTTCATCAATATCCCCGTCTCTCTGTAGCATTGATCCTAAATATCGAAAAGTATCCTTCCTAGGCACTACTTGACCTTCCAAATTAATATCTTCCTCCTCCCGAGTAGTAGTGCCGAAGTCACATCTCATATACTCAGTTTTAGTTCTACTGAGTCTAAAACCTTTGGACTCTAAAGTCTCCCGCCATAACTCCAGTTTTTGATTCACTCCTGTCTGGCTTTCATCAACTAGTACTACATCGTCCGCGAAAAGCATACACCAAGGGATGTCCCCTTGTATGTCCCTTGTGACCTCATCCATCACTAAGGCAAACAAATAAGGGCTCAAAGCTGACCCTTGATGTAGTCCTATCATAATCAGAAAGTCATCCGTGTCTCCATCACTTGTTCGAACTCTAGTCAGAACATTGTTGTATATGTTCTTAATGAGCCCGACGTACTTCGTTGGCACTTTCATGGTACGCAATTTTAACCTTTTCCACAAGGTTTCTAGCCACATGAAGTATTCAATAGATGAATAGATATATTATTATTTTAGCTATACTGTTACATTTATTTAAGAAATTAAGAAACTAAGGACATATTGTTTTTAAAGATGGCACGGTACCCCTAACAAAACACTGGTCATCGAAAGACAATTGAATTTATTTCTTCCTCTAATTTCATTTACATAATGTCAGAGCTTAATGTATGCTACAAAGCTAAAAGACTTTGCAATGAAAACTGAAACCATGTTTTTTTTAGAAATCAATAGAGACATTAGTTGGATTTTCTTTTGCCCATCGTCTACCTATCTCTATTTTTTTCTGAAGTTGTTGGTTAATTCCTGCAGCCCCTGCCTTCCCGGTTTTCTGGAATCCATCGTGTTTCACAATCTTAACAGAGCCCGATCTTGCTATGTCCTAGATAACTTGACTGAAAAGAGTACAATGTTGTGTCCCTATTGTTGGTACTTAAAATTATACCAATTATGTGCTCATGCATGTTTTTACCACTAACCTACATTTTCAGTTTTTACAACAACAGCATAGCCCTGACATTTTTTCTTATTTCTAATTGTCTTATACCATTCGATGGTACCAATTCAGATAATTGGTCTTGTAACTTAGAGGTGCAGAATTATGTATAAGATATGTCTGACACTCTTATCCCAGTTACGTATGAGTGAGCCTACATGTTGTGCGGGTAGCCATCTCTCTTACAACTCCGCATAGGTCTTCCCTGTTAGGTAACAAACATAATTAGCTGGCACTTCTTCTGATGATAGAACTAACAACCTGCTTTGTGCATTATAGGTTCAAAACCACATCACTACTTTGGTGCTTTTGTCTGGGTTCAAGAGCAGAACATGACCTTACTACTTTTGGCTGCATGTATCAGCATTGTGAAACTCAAAAAAATCCAAAACAGAGTCCACCTCCATAGGAATTTATACCTTATGCATGTTTGAGCTGAAAACAGTCATGTGTATTGATTATTAGGAACAATATTCCTGTATGACATTAAATATGCCTTTATGTAATATATATACCCATCCTGCTTGTAATACGCTATCAAGTATGTGTCATGCATTTGCTCTGTCCTAGGCAAAGAAAAAACGAATATTTCAGCTTTCCTATATGACATCCATTTCTGCCTAACTCATACCACGCCCAAGGGCGCGCGCAACGTACTAGTAGCGTACATAGGCAAGGTCACCGCTGCTTACAATCATACGCCATGTTCGCTTAGCTTATAAGCCGTACTTTTTCAGCCAACGAACAATATTTTTTTCTCACAACAAATCAGCCAACGGTACTTTCAGCCATGGCTTATCAGCCAAGCGAACAGGGCATATAGTTTCCAAGCTTGCTTGTACTTGAACTATTCCACCCTTTTTTTTAAAAAAAATGGTGACACTTCTGCTTTGGTTTTCATAAACAGGACATCAACGCTGAACCACCAAATGTTAGATGGACTGGTCCGATCAAGGAGAGCGTGGCCGGTCATGACGACCTACACTTCAAAATATCTCTTTTAATATTTTGCATTGTTAAATATATATATCAATGTCTTTTTTAATACTTTTCATCAATAAATAGATACATCAAAGTGTGTCTCTTTTAATATTTTGCATCGTTATATAGATATACATCAAAATGTATGCAATCCGTTCAATGCAAGCAGCGAAGGAGCGTGGGCTGTTCTCTCTCCACATACCGGCAAATCACGCCCTCGGTACTGGCCTAACACAGGTAAGCGAGCGGCAACGCGCGCGATTTGATTAAGTTTAAACGTGTGTTGTTCTATGTCTTAGATTGTCTCCAACAGGAGACTCATTAGGAGACCAAATCTAAAATGAATCTTCAACAGAATACATATAGCATTCAACAGATTGCCTATATGAAAGATCTATTTTGGGTGTCAGGAGAGGTATAACCTAAATCTAAGTATCCTCTCTCCTGGAGACCTGTTTGTAGAAAGGGTTCTCTTTTGGGTCTTGTTGTTGGAGAAGATCGAAAATGGATATTGAACCTTTTGCATGTAGCGCTACCAAAAAGCTGGAATGAGTCATATATTTTGGGTAACCGTTGTTGAAGATAGTCTTACACATGTTTTTTAAGCACTCAAGCAGTACTTGCATGCATGGCGATCATGTTGAAATGTCGCTAACAGCTGAGCAAGCACAACGATATCGACCCTTTTTGAATTAATTAAAGGTGGTGGGTGGCAGCTTGTGAATCCAGCTGCAAGTTGAATTGAAAGAGTTTAACTTGAAAATTAAAAATTAAAATCATAGGGCAAATTAAAGATCATACAAAAGTTTCTATAAAAATATGAGGGTGGAAAATTGAAACTTAAAAATTGGATGTATGTAGGGCAAAGATCGGCGGTAGCTTGATGCTGCTGAGTTGATTTCAGGTCTCATGAGTTGGAGGAACAACCGAGGGTTGATCTTGTTTGTGTGGTCTATAGCAGATTGATTTGCATGCAGATATGCAAAAAAAAGTAGCAGCGTCATGGTCCTCGACTTCGCATGCCTGTCCATCCCTGACTGCACGGGTTCGTGATGGGTTTCGTAGTTCACTCTGTTGGGTCGGTTCTAAGCGGGCTAAGC